AGAGAGAGAGAGAGAGAGAGAGAGAGAGAGAGAGAGAGAGAGAGAGAATGGGAAAAGAAAAGGAATTTTCTTATAGAAGAAAGGGAAATGCAAAAAAGCAAGCCAAAAAACTCAACAAACAAAAAAGCCAAACAAACAAACAAAACTACTAAGTACATGTTCTAGTGGGATCGAAGTCTCATTCACATACACAGATACATTTACTTGATTCTTGTGTGAAGCAAGAAGTCTTCAGTGTTTTCAAGTATGGTGAGAGAAGAGTTTCTTTTTAAAGTTTTGCTAAGGGTATAGATGCGCAAGATGACTGAGGATGGTTCTAACGGTGTCATCCAGTTGGAAATGAAGGCCCAGGAGGTCGAGTCCAAAGTTTGCCTCACATTTGCTTTGTAAGTAGGGTCTCTGCTGGCTAGTTCCAGGGGTGCCCCTACAGGAACTTTGAGGGTTGGAGAACAGGGTGTTACCATACAGTAGAAAGGAAACACAGCTTCCGGCTCCTTCTTGTTCTTACTCATTGTGGGAATCCTAATGCCACCAGGAAGAAGTTGTCTAAGAGACTCCACTCTCTGAGTGACAATACCACGTGTCTTTATGGACTGCTGAGTGACTTCAGAGAAGTGGATATAACACCATGGGCTCATGTCACTCCATAGGTAAAATAAGATTGTGAGTTTCAAACAAGACATCGCAACATTCTATTGCTAAGTGTCATGTAATCTCAGTTTAACTAGGAATTCCGGTAGTGAACTGAATAACTCTATTTTTCAGAAGTGATATTTTCTACTCCAAACCCTGAAGACATTCTGTTTTTAAGGCTGTGTTGACTGAACATCAACTATCCTGTGATTAATTTTCCAGTGAAAATGAAGCAGGGAGAGGGAGGGGGAATCAGAGCGGGAGAGGGGAGGGGAGAGGAAGGAGGAAGTGGGGAGAGAGGCAGTGGCCTGCTAAGAAGCCCAGGTTGAAGACTAGAAGGCCACCTCAGAGGCAGGGCTTAGACAGAACTGGATGAACAGGATCTTAGACAAGTCACTGGTCACCTGTCATCCTTGGGTTCAATTTCAGGACTTCTACAATATTTTCAGAGCCAGTGTTCAGGCCAGCAGCCCTTCCTGAAGTAGCCTCTAGAGAGTTGCTGGCAGCACCTGCCTTTTTGACCCATTCCCAAAATTACCACATCATTACTTTGAGGTTTATATCTTATAATGT